ATACGTCTGATTGTATGTGAAGGACTGGGGAGGAATTTTCTTCAAAAATTCTGTAGCTACATCATCCATCGTTTATATTGTCGACTGTGCTTGTCATGAGTTGCGACAGGAAAAGGGAGATAATAAATGGACTGGTAGCCTGTTAATATGCTGCTCTGTTTTTTTTGCTTGTACTGAATAAGTGCTGTTGGACTACAACCCAAATTCACACACATTGATGCGGAGCTTTATCGAAGCTTTAAAGTCACTTTTAATGTATCACAGAAACACTGAAACACCAGTGGATTCCTGTAATCTGCTTTGTAGTTGGTTGGTAAAGGTTTTGCTTTGTCATGGAGAGACTAGTCAGTTTTGTGACATGAGCATTGGAATGCAACAATGCCAACTGAAATGGCTGTTTCAAGTTTTTATCAGCTAAATATTTGGCTGGTAGCGCGATACGAGCAACCAGCACTGCGGACTGGCAACGGGGAAAATGTTATTTTTGACAAACATGAAGTCTGTGTGTTTATTGTGTGTGTGTGTGTGAGATGAGTGAAGGAGGAATGAAAAAGGAGCATCCTCCCACACACAGCTGCCAAATCGAACAGCAGATCCGTCCTCGGCTGCTTGTTTGGCAGGAAAGATTTCAGGCGCAACTTTCTTAAGAAGCTGTGTTTACATGCAGTAACTATCTGTCACACACCGGCTCAGGTCTTCAGGTTTTATCAGGTTTTCTGTGGCATTGGGTTAATGGATTGATAGCACTTCCTGAGGCTGTTTGAGCAGCGATGAGTTGCTTTCATGTTCACGGAAAACTGATGGTGGTGCTAATGATGCTGCGTGTTAGCTGTAACAGTGTGAGAGCTGGATGTGGCCATGTTAGGAAGCCTGAGGTCTTTACTGTGAATCGATTTCAACATAGCCAGGTTATCTCGATGCTATCTGAATTCACTTACCATTCAATAGTCAAAGCGTTTATTGTCACGTGTGCACAGAAAAAGCATTTCTCTGTACAATGAACAAATAGATAAAATACAAATAGCATGGATAAATAAATGGAGACCAAAAAAATTGAATTTGAAAATAGATTTATGTGCAAAACAATGGCAATCAAAATAAGCGGTGACACTATTCATAACTTCCCTTCAACTCATTCATGTCACCTAAAGGTAAACCTGTTTCTCCATCACCTGTTCAGCTCTGATGATTCAGTAAGGACATCTCCTGGTTTCATCTTCATGTTTCCCTCTCACCAAACCGACATAATGATCAGCAGCTTTTACAGCTGTGGCTCCAGCAAACATCAGCTGATACTAGAAATTAATATTAAATAAATTCTAACAACAGCTGATCAAGCTTAAACGTGCTGCTGTTGTGTACCGCGACATCCGCTGGTTTCCTCTTTCTGGCGCAAAGTGGGCGATAAACAAACAAGAGAGAAAAGCCGATCAGCTGATCACTGATCACTTTCATGATTGAATGAGAGAAGAAGAGGCAGCTGTGCTCATAAAGACGCAGAATAAATCCAGCTTTGTGTCTTTTTTCATTGTAGCTGAAGTCCGGGACAAACTGTGTTCCTTTTCACCTCGATACGAAACGTGTAATATTTTCTCTGAATACGAGACGATTCCGTTTTTTAGGGGACGGGTCACGGTTGGCAACTCTACTAACTAACCTTATGAATAAAATAAAGTTCACTATCAGTAAAATCATAGCACCCACCAAGCTGTATAGAAACTCCGTCATGCTAGCCAGTACACAGTACGAGTTATTGTAACTGACGGTAAAAAGTCAGCAAAACGAAAATAAACTCCACCTAAACTTGGTTTATATCTGACCCAGATAGACTGCAGGTCATAACTTCTTACATGAAGTTCAGTTCACCTGACATTCGGACCGGCAGCTGCCTTGGGTCTCTCCTCCTTCTGCCTCCCCTCTCCCTCATCCACCTGGCCTCTTGTGGCAGCTCCGAATGTTACTCCTCTTGTGGCAGCTCCGCCATAGCCACCACCAAACAACCAATCCACCACCTCTCATTGTTTCTACTGTTATAAAAAAAATAAAAAATGAAACAAATCATTGGCGCATAAAAACGAAAAATCACCATCGGCCCACCGGCCAGTCCAGCTATGGTAGTAATATATAAATACACTTGTTTTTGACCTGGCGAGCTTTGACTCTGACCCTCTGCTGGCCATCAAAGGGAAGGCAGGTTTAAGGTAATTCAATGTTGGCCTCTCTCTTGACCTCTCTGTTTAGAGAGGACCTGGCGTCCACATATGTGGACATCACATTTTGGGTTGTCTAGACCAAAATACTAAATTTTGCTCTACAAGGGCCTGATATCCACTTAGGAGGACATTATACTGCCACTGTTCTATCGAGATTTACAACGAATGGCGTCTTATTTGGATCTCATTTTTCTCAGAAACAAAAAACATAAAAAAACAAAGAACTTTTACTTTTGTACACTTTTATATTTTATAATTTTGGCATCCCATTTTAAAGTAGCCTTTTTTCTCATTTGTTGGATTTAATTTGATACGCTTTGATAGTTTCACATCTTTTTCTTTTTTTTTCACTGACAAACCGACCTGGACTTTCCACCGTTTCATTGTTAGCTTGGCACAAGTAATGCTCTGAAGTAAAGGTCTAGATTCTTTGGCTTTACGCTGCTGTGATGCCTTTTGTTTCAGTGCTTTCAGCCTTTTGTTGCCTTTGTTCAGCCCTGTACAAACCACTACACTGTCTGAATTCAGCCAGAGCTGCTCAACCTGTAGGCAGATCCCAGAGGCAGCCGTTGAGCTCAGAGACCGGGAGGCCCTCACAAGTGTGAGTAATAGTTCTGAATTACAGTCACCGTCTGAAAGGCCGTCTGCGGCAGAAAGCTGCTGTGAACTCTCTGTAAAGAGTTTGAAAAACGGTGACTGGGTGTCTACCTCATGATATACTGAAGCTTAGGTGGGTGCCCACTGCTGAGCTCACCGTGGAGCTGCCATCCATCGAGTCCGGCCCGCTGGGCTGACAGAGTGTTGATAAAACTCAGACCGACAGAGAACGTCAGCGGCTGAACTGTTGTCTGATGCCAGACTTTCAGATCAAACTCCCTTAACTATTTGTTTGGTTGTTCCCATTTTTATTATGATTGAATAACAGCATGAGATACTGTATTGTTTATGCAACAATCAAACTGTGATACACGAGTGTGTGGTTTATTCCAGGATATGCAGAGGGATTAAAAGACACCCTGTGCTTCCAGTTTTTTTTCTCATGGATAAGGATCAGTGGTGCTTTGTGCAGTCAGATCCATTTTCAATCCATGTTTAGTGAGCCAGCGAGCTGCAGTCAGATGGATTTAAGGATGTTTTAAAATGTTGAGCCTTTGTTTTGCACAAAGATACACAGTTAAATATCTTACAATCTTATGTTGTGGGCTTTTTAAATGTCAGAGGGGCTGCAGACTGACTGCATGTATACTCAGGTTTGGCTTTGAAGGTGATTCCTTACAGGTTTAATGCTCCCTAAAAGAAAAGTCTTTAGAGTTTTGTTGTAAGCGAACATCTTAAACCACTGCACATTTCTAATGTTGTTTTAATATTGAGTTAGTATGTTAAAGTTTGTATAAGTAAGGACGTAATGATGAGTAATGATGATTGATTTTTTTAGCGACTGAAATAAATAATGGAATGGAATAAATAATTTATATTATGGCTGAAATGTAAGAAAAATGCTAATGCAGTCATGAAATCAAACCAAGTTTATTCTCCAATTGGTGTTTTCAAAATGTTAAGCACTGTCCCTTCCACTGTGACCCCTCAGCACAGGTATTTAAACTGGTATTTTTTTCTCTTAAACTCTTCACTAAAGGTGCAATCGTACCCAAAAAAATCATAATCAAAATCATGTTACATCTCGGAAAACTCATGTTGGAAATAACTGATTGTTAGAGGCTGAAAATGTACACAAGTAAAAGCTTGATAATTATTATAATTCATTATTCACATTTCATTTCAGAAGATTTTTTTATTGAATGATGATACACAGTGAACGTTTATCATGAAGGATGGTAAACAATGAAAGGATGACATATGTGTTTAGACACTGAAAGCTGGTAGGTTATAATGATGAACCAGGGAACCCAGTGAAAAGTACTCTGCAGCACACTTAGCTTAGCATAAAGTCTAGAAGCAAAAAAACAATTTCTACCCATATAAATTAAATGAACGATAAATATTGTGTTAATTAAAGATAGAGCTGGGCTGGAATAGTTTGTCCACTTTAAGGATTCGTGCTAACCCTTCTCCTAGTTTTGAACAGTTGTTACATATTTACTCATTTCTTTTCAGTTCTTGTGTTATTTCCTGTGCTTTGCTTGTTCAGAGTGAGACTGTGCAGGTAAAGTAGATGATTCAACTCTGGGCAATGTGCTGTAAGCTCCACACATGTATGCACACCACACACTTGTGGTATGCACATAAGAAACACAAACCATGCACATTGCGTACAAAAATAATAATAATGTAAATACTGCGAATCCATGTACATGTTGTAATTACTCTAAAGGCTGCTCTTGTATCAGTGTAAATGACCCTGCTACAAGTGTATGTGTATATATATGTTGTGTGTATATTTTGTATATACATACGCATACTGTTTGCACTTCGGATTAGATGGCAAACTTTCATTGTTTTTAGTAATGTACTTTTCAATGACAGTCTGACTGAATGTAGCTTAATTTAAAAGGTAGTGAAGTTAAGCTGAAGCTCACATAACCAGCTATTGTGCATAATTGTGCAATAAAACTTTAATAAATGCAAGAAGGATGTTTCTGTGTTAATCGTCCACATCCAGCTGTCACCATCCAGTCACTGTCTGTGTCTTCTATCCGTGTTATTCCTGTCCTTCTGTGGAAGTGTGTCCGAATGCGTCTCAACATATTTAAATGTGCGGCTGTGATGTTTTTGTCTTGTGTTCCCTCCATCGCGGCGTGGCTCATTGAAACTGCATTGTCTTTCCAGGTGGCGAGCGTAACTGTGGAGTACATGAGCTGATCTGCGTCAGAAAAGGTAGGGCAGATCAGAGCTCTGGGAGGTTGACCTTTGACCCATGCACTGCACCTCCCCCTCCACCTGTCTGATCATTTATCACCACTGAAAAACATCTGTGTGTTTGTTTCTGGCTGTTTCGAGTCGTGTTTACTGTTGGTCTGCTGTACTGTTTCGTTCTGTGTGCTCACTGCTTGTGTTCATGGTGTTTGTAAAGCTTGTAAAAGGTGATCAGTTAGAATTATCTGATGTTGCATCTGTGATGTATAAACGCTTGTGACACAAGAAGTCGCCTTTTTATTTCTATAAAATAATTCTTTTTTTAACAGGTATGTTTGTGTTTGTCATAGTTAGCGTTTCCTTTATGTATGACCAAGTTTCTAAGATGCTCCAATGTCATGATTTATGGTTTTTATACATTTTTCTGAACAGAAGAGTTACAGTATGCTAGCATCGTTTTGACACTGAACTAGATAAACTGTTGTCATGGCAGCCACGCAGCAGTCATGATGTCACTTTTGCTGCGTGCTTTCATTTGTGATGGTAGCAATTTGCAGCCAGCTTTATTTCAATTGCAGTGAACAAAAATAATGCTTGCAGAGCTGTAGCATTTTAAACATTTGATGTGTTTGCAAAGGTTAAAGCTAAAAGCTAAAATGAGATACCCAATTATGGAATAATTACCTATAAATTATAACATCCGCTTGTTGCTCTGATAACAGAAGCATTTAAATTCCATTTTTATTTAACGAATTAATTTTTTTTTAAAATATGCATGACAGATTTTTTTAATTAAATAATTAAAGCATTGAAAAAAACAATTCACCCTTCCAGTACTCCAAGATGCCACGATAGGTTTACTTCTATTTCATATTAAGCAGTCAGCTGGTCACTCAGAAGTTCAGCTTTACCTCTAGTTAACACTTTGTTTTAATTGATCTAACACAGTTATTCACCGTAATATCACAAACAGATTGTATGTAATTGCAAACTTGACAATATTCAATTCCAAATTGATAGCAGACTGGCTCCATCTTATTTCCATTTTATTGCCGTCTCAGTGCACTAAAGCATTTTATTGTATGGGGAATGAAATGTTTAGAATAAATGCAAATAATGCTTAATTAGAATCCAAAAAATCATGTTTTGTTAAGCAACAACTATTAGATGGGATTTCAATGATACCAGATAACAAGTTACTATAATTACATAATTGCATGTAAGGAAACACCAAAGTTAATGTTATTATAAAGTTATTACAAATTGGTTTTCTGTTCTCTGTTCTGTTTGTCTAAAGAATTTCAGTAATGAAATTGGGCGCTTATTAATGTAATCAGGGAAGTCTTCATGTGGCGAGCAATTTAAATAATCTGAAATATTTTATTTACCATGTTGGTAAAGAAGTGGCAAAAAGTCCTTGTAAAACTCTACGGTATTCAAGCGCGGAGATTTATTGTTCAGCATCTGGTGGGTGTAACCACAAGCTTTTCTTAGTTCATCTGCAGTGAGTGGTTTGTTTAAATGTAACTCACCGAAGGGAGCTACGAAACGTCAGAGCAGTGTCAGACGATAATATAAAAGTACATATATGTCGTTACACTGACTACATCATGCGTACTTAAAAAGTGGGAGGCAGGCCATGAAGGTTTGAGTGAAAGTATGTGTGTATTTGTTTATGACAGAGTATGATGGGACATAAAAACAGCTTCTTGAACATTAGTTTAGATTTAGTGTTGGATGGTTCAGGCTTTCAGAGATTTAGGAGGAGAACGATGAGTTTGTAGCTGCCCAGTTTTACTCATATTTGTCTATAATTTTCTAATTTTCTAATAATTTTTCTATAACTTTATTAGAAAATAAAAACACTAGTTTGTATTCTGTAATCAAAATTCTTGAACCAGTATTGTGCTGTAGTTATCAAAACAACAAACTACTACTTCTGCATTAATATCTTATTTGCATATGAAGAGCTTCTTTTCTTTTCTTTTTTAATAATGCTTCTATGTTCTGCTTCACTTTAATTGCATTGGAAAGGTTGTTGTTATTCTTATTAAAGGTTATTATCACTGGATGAAAATCATATTTCAAAAATATAAATTAAGGCACTTAATTTGTTGTTTAACGAATTCATCTTTTAGAGCGAAACCTCTACATGCGTCTTTTAGTGCATTTTCCACACAAGTCTTGACGTCCAGGAGACTGTTTCACAATCAGTAAGGAAGCGACCGGAAACATTAGAAATGATGAAAGCAGAGTTTGAAATGAAACTCTGAACAAACTGATAAATGAGACTTCACCTGGTTAAATGTCACCTGATACCATTTGCATCTTCTTGGTGGTTCTGTGAACATCGTGGCTTTTGCCAACAAAGGGAAGTGACATTTAAAGGTTGGATATGACCTTTATAGTAATAGAAATCCTCACACTTGTGTCTTGGAAGAGGCTAAGGATTTAGCAGGGTGATACGTATGCTATCTACTAAGAGCTTTCACTGGATATATTTCTCTCATTTTTTATCCTTATATAACAAAGACATCAATTGATTTGGTGAAGAATATCCGAAGTGAGAGGATGTTGCAGAAAAAAAAGAGAGAGGTGTGCACAGTGTTGCCTGAGGAAGCTCCTAAAGATCAATTACTTGGAGCCAAGAAGTGTGCAGGCTGTTTTTGTCTTTTTTGGGTTACCTAAAAGAAATCCAGGATGCTTATACCCTCCAATGCGTGGTTAACCTTAGTAATTATTTTTCACTGTCATATATTAATAACAAATCCTGCTCCTAGTCATTTCTCGGTGAGCAGACATGGTTTGTTTTCGATGCAGCCCATATATTGACGTTCCTGATTTGCCAGATTTTTTATTTATTTATTTATTTTTTTGCATTTTTACACACTAATAAATCAAGTTAACTAGAAGAGCTGTAACTTGGCATGTTCAGTGAAAGTACCGAGTACTTCTCTTTTACCACGGCATACTCATGTTCATAAAGAAAGTATTTCAAACTAAAAAATAAATATGCACAAGTGATTGCAGAAGGTCCTGATCATGCAGCAGCTGAGTGGTCTGCTTGTAGAACTGTGTGTGTGTGTGTGTGTGTGTGTGTGTGTGTGTGTGTGTGTGTGTGTGTGTGTGTGTGTGTGTGTGGGTTTAATGTGGGTTTAATCCATTTGTTTGAAACTACCACAGGTGTATGTGTTGTGTGTTTGCATGTGTGTGGCTACTCTGTGGGTAATGTGCTTCAGAGTATGTGTGGGAGTTTGCATGGGAGCGCTGAGAGTGCTTATGAGCTGCCTGTGGAGTTTGTGGGTGTCTATGTGGATTTGAGGAGGTTTGGTTCTTGATGACAGTTGGCATGTGGACAGATCAGACTTTTATCCAGCAATGTCCTCTTCCTCCTCCTGGAGCATCACGTGAGATGTAGTTCATTCACTGTGTCCTTTTAGAAAACCTGACATTGTAAAATGAAAGCCGAGGACGCCTCTGGCTCTTGCTGTCATTGCATTGAATGTTAAACTATTAAAAGGCTTTTCTGGTTGTAATTCTTGGTTCCCACTGGTGTGAAATGTTGGCAGCTACAGGAGTTTTATTTTAGACGAACATGAAAACTGTTGGATCTCCCCAACCAGGGAGGTGGTTGTCATCTTTTAACTGTTTTTTGAGGAGTTGAAGCCAATTGCTTTTCTTACACTGATTAAAGCGAAATGCAATTTTCATTGTGCCTTTTCTTTTGCATTCACCAGTGACTGGAGAATCAATTTTTAATTAAATCTAATTAAATCTCTGAATTACTGCTGATACGGAGTACCCATCCAATAGCAGAATTAAATTGAGCTTTACTCCTCACTCTGGGAAGGATAATGGGAGCCATTCAGTTTTGGCTGAGGCAACATGAGGCATGGCTTAAACATTTCACACGACAAAATGTTAAATATGTGCATTACTAGTAAAACCTAATTTAGTTATTTTAGTAAAGCAGGATCAAGAAAAGTAAATGAAAAACATTTTTGCTCCACTCGATACACAGAAGGAGCTCTACTTTGAGCTGTTGGAGAGGGAGGACTAACTCAAACACACGCTTCTTACAACTCAGACGTTGTACCTTAAAGCTGATTGGCTACAGCAGCAGAAGACCACACTGGATGCCACTTCTGTCATATGGGAACAGACACAGGAACTGAGAGTACATCTCACTCAGGCTCAACAAAAATGGACAGTAGATGAATGATTTGATTAGAAATCTGGCATCTCTTAGTACCAACTGAGCTTCATTTAAATGCGACAGTGTACCTGAGTAATTCTCCTAACCATATCCATCTCTTTATGACCAAACATTATGTATTTTCTGATGGCAATTTAATGCACCAGCCAAGTTCTAATCATCTCAATTTGGTTTCTTATACATAGCAATGAAGACACTGCACTCAATTGGCCTCCATAGGCATCAGGTCTCAATACAATAAAGCACCTTTGGGATGTGGTATAATCGGGGGGGGGTCACATAATGGATGTGTTGTCTATAAATCTGCATGCTGTCATGATAGCTGCTAATCTATGCCATTAAGGAATAATACAGCTCTGAGGGTAAAATTCAATTAAATTTTATTTATACAGCGCCAAATCACAACAACAGTCGCCTCAAGGAAAAACTTTTAACAGGAAGAAACTTCCAGCAGAACCAGGCTCAGGGAGGGGCGGGGCCATCTGCTGCGACCGGTTGGGGAGAGAGAAGGAAGACAGGATAAAGACATGCTGTGGAAGAGAGACAGAGATTAATAACAAGTATGATTCAGTGCAGAGAGGTCTATTAAAACCATCTGAAGAGGTCTGACGGGTACTAGCAAGGTGTACCTGATGAAGTGGCTGATTGTATATACATATATGTAGCTAATGAATTCATTATCAGAACGATATTCGATCCAAATATAGAATCACACGATTTCTCTTCATTTGTAAACATGTAAGGGAGCACAGCTGTGGGTGAGCCTGTGACCCACAAAGTGTTGCAGTATTTATATACAGTGGGG